AAAGTTTGATGTATATTATGAATTGTACACGACCAGATATAACATGTGCTATTAGTAAACTGAGTCTATTCACTAGTAATTCGAATCAAACTCACTGGATGACAATGAAACATGTGTTGGGGTATCTGAAACATACACAACACTATGCTTTGCATTATAATAAATATCATATCGTGATTGAATGATATAGTGATGCAAATTGGATCACCGGGTCAAATGAAGTAAAATCCACAAGTGGTTATGTGTTTATACTTGGTGGAGGAGCAGTCTCTTGGAAATCGTCCAAATAAACATGTATCGCTCGCTCCACAATGGAATCTGAATTTATTGTTTTAGATAAGGTTGGTGACGAAGCTGAATGGCTCTAGAATTTCTTAGAGGATATTCTATTCTGGCCCAAACCTATGGGACCTATTTGCATATTGTGATAGTCAAGCAGCAATAGGTAGGGCAGTGAGCGTTATGTACAACGGGAAGTCCCGTCATATACGACGGAGACATAACACCGTAAGACAACTGCTCTCTAGTGGAATTATCATAATTGACTATGTGAAGTCAAGCAATAATGTGTCAGATCCATTAACGAAAGGCCTAGTGAGAGAGGCAGTTGAAATATCATCTAAGGGAATGGGTTTATAGCTTAGGACAAGTCAGCATGGCGGTAACTCTATCGAGCAGACTGGAGATCACAAGAGCTAGATTCAAGGAGAAAAACAAAGTTGTGGCTGACGGTTCGACATTGTCAATCAACTCAATCCATTCTCATGATGAAGACAATGTTCAGGAACAAGGTTAAGACTTTAAGTCTTGTTAATGAGTTAATAAAGCTTAAAGTTTTTAATGATTTGCTAAGTTTGGCAGATTTGACCAAATAGTGTATCTACGAGATGACACGGTTAGAAATCACCTATGTGAGTGTGAAGTGTAAGCCGCTTCAAAGAGAATTTTATGTCAAAACCTATTCTCTATACACTCATGAAACCAGGAGGTGTTTCTGTCTGAAACGAACACAACCGTAAGAACCATAAATGGTAAAGGGTTAATTGTGTGACATATTGTTGTCTAGGTATACACCAAAGCTCGATGGTTCAAAGATATCGCATCTACCGATTGACCGAGTATATTCCGACATATGTTCACTACGGAAAGTCCAAGGGGAAACCTACTTATCCAGATGCAATTGATCCTTGCTTGTAAAGTACACACTCGTCCGTGCATTCCTTATGTTATAACCTTTCCCCATTCATGTGGAGGATTGTTGGGTATATAGCAAGAGTTAATGGGAAATGGAGGGAAGATGAAAAGAGAGGAACTTGAAAAGTCCTCTTATGCTTTAGTAAAAAGGCATTTCTTCCTCATCGGTAGTGGAAAGAAAAATAGAAGAGTTTAAATAGAGAAACACTTCTATTAATTGTTAAAAGAGTTGGAAAGAGGAACCCCCTCACGCCGTCGTCGTCGCTCGGCTTCGGCTTTGAAAAATGATCGAGAGATTATTTTTTGACAAAGTTTTGTTTTAATTATTTATTTAATTAATTAAAATTAAATGACCAAAACGTTTCAATTAATTAGTTTTTTGTGAATTAATTTACGTTTTTCTGTTTTTTCATTGGTTCATTAAACTTTGATAACTTTGTGTTTCTGCAAAGTTTGGTTTAACCAGTGGTACTGTTTTAGACACGGATTGGGTAACACCAGAATCTACATCCTTAACGGCAAATGATAAGAATAGCCGTTGTTTTTGAATGCTGCATATTCCTATTGTGCTGTCAGAAGGTAAGTTTAAGCTAATAGTGATTAATTAAACATATATTCTTCCTATCGAGTAATAATGATAGTGACGATAAAATCAAGAAGAATGATTATAGATGCCCTGTCCCTCTCTGGATGCTTTCATTATAGCCAAAAGTATGCATAGAATGGTTTTAGCTGAGGTTCTCCACTACTTTTAGCATGATCTCTATATGAGTTGACACTCTTAAATCTCATCAGAATAAAGATCCCAAAGATCGATTAGTAGTGCTAAAAAAAGAATCACACAAAGCCAAAAAATATCATTTTTGATATTTTTGATAATCATATAGGAATGAGTTCACTTGGATATTTTTGTGTCGAGTCGCTGGACCAAAACAGCATTTCGAAAAAGTTAACTCACTGAGCAACTTTAAAGCAATGCAGCATCAAGTAGCCACATCTGCAAGAAAATTAAAGTTAAGTCAGGTAGAGACGGATACAAGATTTAGCTAGGACGGTTTAAACCTTTAGATGCTTACTGCTGAACCCATTACACTTTTGAAATTACGAGTTCAGAATTTAATATTTGTTGAAATAATAGTGATACTTGATATATATTACATATATAAAAGCTTTGTGTCGGAAACTAAAGACTTGACACATAAACATAACACTCAAACTTGGCCTCAACTAACAAGTAAACGCTCAGAAACTTTGAGACTGCACATCTTAACACCTCAATTTGATCTCAACTGGTGACAAAACACTCCAACTCGTCCCCACTGTGTATCGTGGACACCCGATGTTGACATGGCACGTAAAATTTGGTGGTGTCTAGATGATCATTTTGTAAGTTAGTGTTTTCAACTGACGCGGTTGAGATGAGTTAAGGTGTCTAAATGTGCATACTCGAAGTTTGAGTGTTTACTTGCCAGATAAGGTCACGTTTGAGTATCTGTTTATGTATTAGTACTTCATCCGCCTCTGGTGCCACGGGCATTTGTCTTTTGACTTCTCACATATGCTCCACAATTATGGTTATAAGTGGCAAGCAACTCCCATCATCTAAAGAGGCAGATGCAACCTTTGGACAAAGGGCTTATCTGAACCTTATATTTTCAACAAAGAGCCCAAATATATATGTGAAAATCACTACAACCAATAACTTTGAAACTATAATGAGTTTGGTGCTAAGAACCTTAAAGGTTAAATCCGTTACGTTTAAATTTTGAATCCGCCTCTAATCTTCTATGTTCGTTCAGCTTATGTTTCTACCACAACACGATAAGAGTAATCCTTTTGCAAAGGCTTTTATGGACTATGGATCCTTTGGCTCAACAAATTAGGACCGGAAAACTTCATTTGATGATTCATAAGCAAGGATCTATAGAATACATAAACAAAAGAATAGTCAAAAACAACCTGAACTATCATTTTTTTCACGAGTTTCACACCCTTACTATCATTCATTCCCTTACCCTATCTGAACTATCATCATCTATGTATTAAAACATACCTCAACTATCGGTTGTTCCCTTAAACTACCTAAACTATCACCTCGTTCAGGTAGGAAAAGGGAACAACTAATTGTTGAGGTGTGAAACTCACGAAAAAACGATAGTTTATTTTGCAACACCTCTGTGACTGACAAATACTTTATTTTGGCCCAAATAATTCTTGTAGCAAAAGCCAAACCATATTGTCCCACAAGAAAAAAAGTTACCTCACCCTGTTGGATATATAGTTCCAATGCTAGTTATACCTCCACTTCCCATACAGAACCTGGAAAAATATAACAAATGTTTAGTCAAATACTTTGTAATAGAACAAACATTGTGTAGCAGGACTACTTTTGAGCCAAATTGCAAAAGGCTGCAGCTTGACAAAACAAGAATATATTCTTAAAGTCACCTACATCTATATTCTTTCTGAGCTTACTGAATAAACTCCCATAATGTTCATGCATAGGTTATATACTTAAGAAAAAAAATCCATTTTTTCATCCGATTCGTCTTTACACCTGAGCACTTTTTATGCTTATCTCAATTTCGATTGTTCTTTCGTGAGCATTAAGATACCTTCGTGACAAAAAAGGATTGTTGATTTCCTTAAGATATATCTCCTCATCATCCCTTGGTTAGATCTTAGTTACCAAAGGACGTATAACAGCTGAAATGAATGCCAAACTGACTCCCTAAGCTGTCAAGCTGACGATTCATTGATTTTGAAACACCTCCACTTAGTGGGGCAGGACAGTGAAGGGAGAAAATCATTATCCGCACCCTATATTTACACCAAACTAATGAAAACATTGACATGTATTTGCACCAAAGGACGTATATATATCAGCTGAAATGGAAGCTAAACTGACTCCCTACGCTGTCAAGCTGACGATTCATTGATCTTGAAACACCTCCACTTAGTGGGGCAGGACAGTGAAAGGAATTTGCACCGGGAAAGATACAACCCAGAAGAACCACACCCCAAAATCTATCATTGAAGTGGTAGAGCCCAAGACTTTATAAGCCCCACATCAACTCGCCAATTTAACCAATGTGAGACTCAAGTCTCAAACCTTATAGTAGGCTATGCGACATCCAAGGCACGACCCCACATCAACACCCCAATTTAACCAATGTGAGACTCAAGTCTCATACCCTGTAGTAGGATATGCGTCATCCAAGGCACGACCCCACATCAGCTTCCCAATCTAACCAATGTGAGACTCAAGTCTCAAACCTTATAGTAGCTATGCGCCATCAAAGGCACGACCTCACATCAGCTCCCCAATCTAACCAATGTGAGACTCAAGTCTCAAACCTTGTAATAGGATATCCGCCATCCAAGGCCGACCCCACATCAACTCCCCAATTTAACCAATGTGAGACTCAAGTCTCATACCTTACAGTAGGATGTGTACCATCCAAGACACAAACCCCACATCAGCTCCCACAATTTAACCAATATGAAACTCAAGTCTCATACCTTGTAGTAGGATGTGCGCCATCCAAGGCACGAACCCCACATCAGCTCCCCAATTTAACCAATATGAAACTCAAGTCTCATACCTTACACTAGGATGTGTGCCATCCCAGGCACGACCCCACATCAACTCCTCAATTTAACGGATGTGGGGACTCAAGTCCCATTTGCAAATAGCATCACAACATTTATGATTTTTTGGGGCCAAATTTCAAGATTGGACCTTTATCCCCATATTCCAAAATGATATCAAGTTATCTTGTACACTATCAAATTACAACACAAAAACAATGACACTCTCTTTACCTATCACTATCCTCCACTTTCTCCCAAGCTCAGATCCCCCTTACAAACTCCTCCAAACTCATCCATCTTTTTCCTTCTTATCCAAATGCAAAAACATGGAAGATCTCAAGAAAGTTCATTCCCATTTCATTAAATTTGGTTTACACAATACCCAATTTGCACTAAGCAAATTACTTGAATTTTGTGCCACTAATCTATATGGTGATTTCTCATATGCTTTATCAATCTTTAATACTACTGATGAACCTAATCACGTTATGTATAACATGATAATTAGAGGATATTCATTGAGTTCATCTCCAAGTTTCGCCATTGATTTCTATGAAAAAATGCTTTTTTCGGGTAATCGACCGAATTCGTATACATTTCCGTTTCTTTTAAAATCTTGTGCGAAAATAATGGATACCCAGATGGGGAAAATGATTCATGGACATGTTTTTAAGCTTGGGTTGATGACTGATGTTTATGTACATGCTTCACTTATCAATATGTATGCTCAAAATGGTGAAATGGATGATGCAAGATTGGTGTTTGATAAAAGTTCTAAGAGAGATGCTGTGTCGTTCACCGCGTTGATTAATGGGTATGCGTTGAAGGGACGTGTCGGTGATGCTCGGGAACTGTTTGATGAAATGCCTGTGAGAGATGTTGTTTCGTGGAATGCGATGATTTCGGGGTATGCTCAGGTGGGTCGGTTTGAGGAGGCGTTAGTGTTGTTTGAGGAGATGAGAAATGTGAATGTGGAACCTTCAGTGAGCACGTTGTTGAGTGTTCTATCTGCGTGTGCTCGTGTAGGTGAACTTAAATTGGGGAATTGGGTGAGATCATGGATTGAAGATCATGGACTTGGTTTGAATATTCGTCTTGTTAATGCACTTATTGATATGTACGCAAAATGTGGCGATGTGAAGACGGCAAGGATGTTATTCGAGGGTCTAGAGGAGAAAGATCTCGTGTCGTGGAATGTTATGATTGGGGGTTATACACATTCTGGCTATTATAAAGATGCATTGGCTGTTTTTCATCGAATGCAGCAAGAAGTTATAGATCCTAATGATGTTACGTTGTTGAGCATCCTTCCAGCTTGTGCACATTTAGGTGCTCTAGATCTTGGCAAGTGGATACATGTCTATATTGACAAGCATTATCAACACTTACAAAACACTTCTCTATGGACTAGTCTGATAAATATGTATGCAAAATGTGGAGCCATCGCAGCAGCAAAACAAGTCTTTCAGGGAATGAGAACGAAAACTTTAGCTTCGTATAATGTGATGATCTCAGGGCTAGCAATGCATGGTGATGCATATGAAGCTCTGGAGCTGTTCCGTAAAATGACAGAGGAAAGTATGAAGCCAGATGATATAACATTTGTTAGTGTTTTATCAGCGTGTAATCACGCTGGTTTAGTGGATCTTGGTCGAGAATATTTTAATACCATGATCCAAACCTACAAGTACACACCAAAGTTGCAGCATTATGGATGTATGATTGACCTTCTAGGACGAGCAGGAAAATTCGATGAATCAATGACCATGATCGAGAGCATGGAGATTAAACCCGATGGTGCAATATGGGGTTCCTTGCTAGGTTCTTGTAGAATCCACAAGAATCTTGAGTTGGGTGAATATGCTGCCAAGAACTTATTTGAACTAGAGCCCGAGAATCCTGGTGCTTATGTACTCTTATCCAACATCTATGCCGGTGCTGGAAATTGGGACAAAGTAGCATCGATAAGAACTTTTTTAAATGATCAAGGAATGAAGAAAGTTCCTGGTTGTACCTCCATTGAGATTGATAGAGTAGTCCATGAGTTTCTTGTTAGTGATAGAACACATCCGCAAAGCAACGAGATTTATAAAATGTTGGATGAAGTCGATAGGCTATTGGAAATGGCTGGCCATGTTCCAGATACATCAGAGGTACATTATGAAATGGATGAGGAGTGGAAGGAAGAAAAACTAAATCAACATAGCGAGAAGTTGGCGATTGCCTTTGGATTGATCAGCACAAAGCCAGGGACAACTCTCAGGATTGTTAAGAACCTTAGAGTGTGTGGGAATTGTCATGAAGCCACGAAGATGATATCGAAGATATTTAACAGGGAGATCATTGCAAGAGATAGGAATCGATTTCACCATTTCAAAAACGGTTCTTGCTCGTGCTTGGACTATTGGTGAACTGATAAAGATCAAGCAGAGTGGATGGCTCCAGAATGCTCCCATGGTACTATCAGTAGTTATAGACATAAATTTTGCAAATACTTCTTCTGTAAAGATATTGCACTGTTTGAGAAAAGCGAGTTAATCTCTGACACGCTCACTCAACTAACAACTATTATCTCAGAAAGTCGTCACTCAACTTTGAGTATTGTTTTATTTTATTAATAATATACAAGGTAATTACAATCCCATAGTTTTATTGAACAAAAACACCAGCCCCGAACAAACGATTCTTCTTTTTCTTGTTGTCATCGGTCTATATAATAGGATCAATTACCATGGCAAAGATGACATCTTTCAAGTTATTTTTGGAAAAAGTATAAGCATCTTCATCTTTATACATGAACTCAACAACTCTTGTAAGATTAATTATAGGCATGAGCAAAACTCTTGGTACAATAGCCACATCCACTTTGAAATATTCTTCATTCAAATCATTCCAATAATTTTGTATTATGTTTCTTATTTGTGTGTGTGCTTCTTCCTTCGTAACACCATATTCTTTCATATAACATTCAATACTTGAAGCTGCATCTCCTCTTTTTTGTTCTTCCTAACATGAATTTTTTTTTAAAAATTAATCAAATGATTGCACACAATCAGTCAAACTATGTGTCAAGTCAAACAACATCATATAAATTGAGACATAAGGAGTGTATATATATATATATATATATATATATATATATATATATTATACCTCATGTGATGAAAGATCATTGAGTAATCTCATAATGAGAGAAGAAGCAACAAGTATTGGAGGTTGAGTTGCTATCCAATCAAATGCATCTTTAATTAGTTGCCACCTTTCCCATTGCTAACCAAGAAGTAGTTGCTAGTAATAGGTGGAATTCCATTCTTCATATATTGCTCCATTTTTGGTATTTTCTTCTCATGATACCATTTTGCCTCTTGAAAGTAAGCCCTCAACACCTTTTTCATCTAAAAATAAATAATAGCAAAAAATTAAAAATCGACGAACAAATTATTTTTTTTAGAAATATTAAAAAATGTAATTACTTAGAATTGAACTCAAGTATTTTTTGAGACTTGAAATAATTCTATCACTCGACCACACATTTGTCAACTCTTTCTCAATTTCATCATAAGTATCTAGAAGATCACGGTAAAGAATCTTCATATATGATGGTAATTGTTCTGAAGCATCAATATTCCACCTACATATATATAAAATAGCAATTATAATTAAAAATGTTGTAAGCTATATATATATATATATATATATATATAAACAAACATAATTATTACCTTTCAATTGCCCTTGTGAATAGTGTAAGTTCATTTAGTGTCCCATATATATCATATGTGTCATCAATAATACAAATGATGTATAAAATTTGTGTTAATACTTTCCTTGCAACGCTATACTGAGGCTCAAAATAGACACCTAAACTCCAGAAGTAAGTCTCTACCAATCTGTCTCTTATATAAGGTAATGCATTCACAAGTTCCAATTCTTTCCACCACCTACAATTGGACAATATTTGCTTTAAATTGATATATCATATTTTATATTATAAGTGCGAAGCTCCAAGATGTAAAGTTGAATTACCATTTTATCCCTATACTAAATAAAAATGTTATATTCATATTCTTTGATTATTTTATTTTAAAAAAATATTGAGCAGTAAACTTTTTTTACTATTAATGACTTGAGAATATTTGAACAGTTATGAAAATTAAATAATCTAAACGTTAAAGAAAATGGAGAGACAAACATTAGTTAATGAGAGCAATTAGGTAGAGATTTCAGTTGCACATTAACCAAAATATAGTAGCATTACCTCTACATTGCTAGAATCTTAAAAGTTGTAGATTTCAATACATTGAATCCCATAGTTAATATATGTTATTTTCAATGATAAATACGTGAAAAGAAGCTAAAGAGACTAATTAATCATTTGAAGTGAAAGTATAATATAAAGCCAAGAATAATTTTCATTTCCCTCAAGTCCCCCTCTCCATTTTTATGGGCTCTAAAGAAGAGTATATCATTTCTCTGAGCAGTTTTTTCTCAATCAATGTCAAAGTTAAAGGCTATTAAAATACGCTATGAACGTTGTTGGATTCGTCAAAGAAATTTCTTAGTGCAGAGGAGCATTAGTTTTTTTCAGTTGAAGAATATACTCATGGCACTTATTATTTTATTTACTTGCTAGAGCTTAATATGTGCAGCACAACATTGATTTTGCGGTAAAAGATCTCTATATATTCCTGGTTTTACACATATTTCATTAACGTAGCACATAATGTTTCACTTTCTCATTTAAACATTGTAATTGTACTTTAGTTAGTTATTTTACTTTATAAGATTATGTGGGTAGATTGATATACCTTTCATTTACTTTTTATCGGAAAGGAGATATCTCGTAGAAGTTTGATTAATTAGTAATGTTGGTAATTGTTGATATTCCTATCAAATGAATGATGATTGGCGGAGCCTCTTTATAAAAAAAATTTCAAGTAAACACCATAAATTAAAGGAAAACTAGAGTATTAAATGATCTACCTTCAAGATATATATTTTATAAAGATAAATCATCTTCCTAATTAGAGTTGACTGAATTTAAAAATTAAGTTACAAAGAATGATAGGCTTTGTACATCAAGATTTCTATTTTAATTTTTTGTTAAAGTAGATATCTATAATTTTATGATTGCTAAATGCTTATTTGTTTACCACATAAATTGCTCTATGCAGTACAAAACATCTTCAAAGAAGAGCAAGAAAATAAATAAATAATGGTATTTGCAAATAGTTTTTTAGATTTTGGATCTTAGAATCAAAACACCATATAGGATACTTATCAATTTTAAGAACATGTAATTTGTATTTTCTATTTTATAACACATAATATAACTTTAAAATATTGTTTATATATTGTCTTCACAAAAATATTTTTATTTATATGGCCATACGCGCGTCGCGCGTACCTAGAAACTAGTAAAATAATAAACAACAATAATATACCTAGCTTAGTTCACACAATGAGGTCTAGAGAGGGTAGAGTGTACATAGACACCTTACCTCTACCTTAGAAGGTGAGATAGAGAGGTTGTGATCACAAAAACAGTCTAGAATGGAAGTATAAGATACAATAGATAGTAACAGAAATAGTAGTACTACAACAAAATAATATTACAAACGGACTACACGAAATAATAGATAGTAACAGAAAAAATTAATGATAATTGCGCGTAACCAACTACATGCCTAGTGATATCAGATAGCTCCTTTTTATGCAATATTTGCAAGATGTTGAAGTCTAATTTGGCAACGTTTAGTAAGACTTGATTGTGATTTTGATTTTGTTGGTAAAATGATATGTATTTCTTTGTTTCTACCCTCACAATGCCATCTTTAATTGGAAACTTGAGTGCATTAGTGATTTGTTGTGCAAGTTGGGAGTTGCTCAATTTAGGCAAACTTAGTTTCAATTGAGTAATGGTAAAATTTAGTGCTTCATCAAGAATTTATTCTCCATGTACCCTGAATTGTGCTACCTCATATAAGCTCAACATTCCTTGCACATCCTTAACCAATTCTTCCTTGAAATTTCCTTGGTCATTAGTGAACTTCTTAAATGCATCTGCTTCAAATTATATTATATATATATATATATTATGAGCAAGGAAAAAAGGTACTAATTATAAGTGGATTTTTTTTCCTGGTGTTTGGTTAGTAAGAAGAAAATATCTATTATCCTACAAGCATTTAGGTATAATATGAGAACATACTATGATACCGGACGTGAATCCGATCCTCACCTTTTAGCAAGGATGCATACTTTGAGTGTGGGTCAAGATTAGGTCTTAGGTCGAGGTAGGAATCAGGTTCTGGGTTTGATCATGGGTCAAGATAAGGGGTTAGGAGTTAGGTCCTGGGTTGGGGTCGTGGGTCAGGAGTCATGCATGGACCCAAATCCTGACTCCTGACTCCTGACCCCGACCTTAACCCAAGAGTCAGAGTCCAATCTTGAGTTGAGATAGGGTGGCATGTCACGAGTCCAAGTTGAATCTTGGGCCTCAAGGGGGGGTCGGATGGTGAGGTTGAAAGAAAAAAAATGATTTTTTTTCTAAATTTGAATGATACTTACCACATGAGACACAATAACCTTGTTGCCTAAGTAATCGAAAGCATAGAGCAATAGCATGAAGATCACCAATCCAATATTCTTCATAATGAGTGTACATGTAACTCAATGATTCATCAATCTCACTTTCAAAATGATAAGCTAAGCCAAGACATTGAATTGTGTTGATGGGTTCAAGTTTTTCCAAAGAATTTGAAGGAGTCATCACTAGCATATTTCTCACTTCTTTTAGGACTTCATGTTTCTTCTCTTCCTCATTGGCTCCCTATTTGAGAATTAATATATATGTTAATCATGATCATATGAATTTATTTAGTATATTGATGGTATACAAAATATTTATTTATTTACTTACGGGGAGATCAACATAGGCAAGAAAATGGTCTCCCCAAACATTAGGATGATGATTGCCAGAGCGACGTGTAGTTATAACCTCATGATCCACCGCAACGGTTTGTGTGCACAACAACATTTTTCACAAAGAGTTATAAAAGTTGTTTGGTAAAGGAAATATATGAACCAAAATTTGAACAAACATGAGTTGGGTCAAAAACTTTGTATAGAGAAAAGTATAATGCATATTAAATTGACAATATTGTGGAGAAAAGTATAACCAAACAGTAGTATAATGCATATTAAAAATTAAAATAATAAAATAGGGCAGACCTCATAATGATGTCAAATTAAAGTTTTTTCCAACTTACAAATTAATACACTGAAAACATGATGACTCCATTCCTATTTATAATTTTAAAAAAAGATTTAGAACATGTGGAGATATTGATGATGATTTAGAGGTTTTACAAATTGATAATATTGTGGGCTCAAGCCTTTGTGAAATACTTTCTCCGTCTATTTTTAATTTT